TGCGCGCCTTCTCCTCTACTCCCCATCTTTGTTTCTCCTCCTTGCAGCCCTCCAGCTCTCGTTTCTCCATATTCCCTCATGTGCGCCTTCTTGTTATCTTTCTCCCTTCTTTTGCACCGTACCTGGCCATGATGTCGACCAGGTTCCATTTAATCGGGCAAGTCGATCCCCCTTGCCCCAGTCTCTCTCTCCCTCCACCCTCTGTATGGGTGCATTCGCCTACTCACTCTATGTCCCTTCTTCACACACCTACACCCCCGGCTTCTCCTCCTTGGTTCCTCAACTGTACTTAGTCGTATTTATGACTAAGGTCAAGATACTAACAGAAATAATGATGATAATAATAATAATAATAATAATCAAAAAAATATAATAATAATAATAATAATAATTTTCATAATAATCATAATAATCATAATAATCATAATAATCATAATAATCATAATAATAATAAAGAGTACGAGTGTGTACGATAAACAAAAAATCAAATTGCAAAATCACACAAATGTCCAGGTAGTCTTGTCCAAGCAGAGAGTACAAATGCACCGAGAAAACCATCCATAAAGAGCAATACAATGAAGTATTGAGCCAATGTCCAAGCCCGTAGGCCACACCACCGCAGTATCCAGAGTCGCTCTCTTTGTTTGCACACAACGCCCAGCCTAGTCTACCATACTATCCTATACTTAAGATGGCTCACACAACAGGTTCACTTCGTCTCACGAAGACCAATGTATATGTTTGTCCACACCATCGGTGACCTCTCTTCATGTACCAGGTACGTAACTCGTCATCCCCATTCAAACCTTGATTATCCCCACTCTCTCCCTTTCTCTCCCGTCGTCCGTAGATACTGAGAAGTCAGATCGGGAGAGGGTGAAGAAGAGATGGAGGACTTAGAAGAGGAAGAAGAAGAACTCTCTCTCTCTTTTCATACACACACACACGTACGTAGTACAAATGTGGTAGTGTATATTCCCACGTTGCAGGGATATATTCATTCGATTTCTACATGTTTATTTATTTACTTATTTATTTATTTATTTGTTTATTTATTTATTTATTTATTTATTTATTTATTTATTTGCACATCCTATCGATGGAAACACTGGGATTGGTAACGAGGAAACGAGACTTACTCGTTCTTTCTCCCGCTCCCCGTCGCTGTCACCGTCGTCGTCGAGTCGTCGTCGTCGTCACACCGTTACCTCGTCGTTGTCCGACCGTGCGGTCAGGTAGGTGCCCTTCTCTACTCCCCCCTCTCCTCCTTTCTCCTTTTTTCTCCTTCCCTCCTCTTCTTCTTCTACTTCCTATCCCCTCTCTCTCGTGCCTTTTCTCTCGCTCGCACGCACGCTCCTCCTTCACGCTCGCTCTCGCTCGCACCTTCGCTCGTTCACACGTCGCTCTGCTTGCCTTGCTCACACGTTCTTACGTTAGTATGCACTTTTTGTTTGCTCACATGCTCGTTCACTCGCACGCCCATGCGCATCTCTTGCTTGCACATTCATTCCCGCATACTTGCCTCTTTCATGTACCTCGCAGGGATCTTCCCTTCGCCGGAGATCCTCGAGGAACCGAGACCACGGCAAGGCACTCAGTCTACGAGTCTCACCATCCCACTTTCGTGGGTAGTTAACGAATCTGCCCTCTCGTCCAGGGTAGATTCACGTGAGCCTTTATCATCAACGGAGTACTGTCAAAACGAATCTAACTAATAATGAAAAAAAAGAAAAAAAAATAAAAGAGAAAGAAAATATAAGGAAAAAAAAAAATAAAAAAAATCTAACTACTAACCTCCCGAGTAGACCAAGTGTCAAGCTCCCGTCGTGTGAGGCAAGTGGCCTAAATTACTAACTTCATATACTTCTACTTTTAAAGTCGCGGGTTCGAGCCCTGCTCATCCGAGGGTGGGTGAACAAAAATTTACAGGTGGCCCTAGTGCCGATTTTCGGCAAAAAAGGAGCTAGCCACAGGTCGGGCGGATTCGATCCATGCATCTCTGGCTTGTCAATCTACACTCGTACCTACTGGGCTAGCTCCTAGTACGGTTATACTAAGAGTTTTCTCAGTATAATTGTAATACGGCCCTCCCCTTTCTGGCTGATGCAATGCCCTCAGCCCCTCATAGGGGAAGACACAGATTTCTGTAACTGTCGTACCCCACTACGGCAGTCTGGCTACCTTACCAGTTGCCCTGGCCATAAGGCATACTCATTACTAACGTATCTCGTCGCTTTAGCCGGAACCTACTAACTCGGTGTGTCGTCGTCGCCTCCTGCGCGACTTCCTCTTTGCTAGATTAATGTTCTGGCCTCTATGGTCGGTGGCTTAATTTACTAACCCTTCTTCAGTCTTTGCGCGGATCAACATGGCGTGCGTGGTCATTCAAAATTTTAATCCCCCTTATCTTTACCTCCTCGGCGTTTGCCACGACAAGGCATGCGAGCATTCAAACAAAATTGACCATCGACTCTAGTATGTGCGCGCCGTGTTTCGGTGCTTGCGTTGGGAAAACTTCCTCGATCATAACAGTTGAAGGATTCGCCTCATTTCTCGTTTTTAGCCGTCTTCAGCCTGTCTGTTGGTGCCGACATTGCGCCGACCATAAAAATATGAGCGGATACCCTTGTAAGGGTATCAACTCCGACAATTTTCCCAGACCCCATTAAGCGATGTCCCCGTCGCTGGGGAATCTAAATGCAAAGAAATGCCTTCTAACGCGACAAGTAGTCAAAATCCGATCCCCTGGATGAAGTTGCGGTTTGGAGACCCTCACTGTCCCCCTTGGTGCGTCCATACTGCCAGGATTTTACCCTGGGTCTCCCACATATCCAAAAATGACAATTCCCAAGAAAAGATTAATCCATGTAAACCCAAGTGGGCATACTGGATCTGTACTACAATTACGGAGGTCACCAAGGACGACAATGATAGCTCCTCCCCCCAACTTTATACTTTATTTTGCCAGGATCTCGTTGGGTGTCCAAGGAGTTAGGAATCAGAATAGAACCCGCTCTTTGGACGCGGGTCTTGACCTAAGTCAGATTTTACCGTCCCACCCGAAGTTGTTATTTTAGCGATGGTTTCCGTATTGGTTACGCAATATCAGGTAAAATCCTCCTATCAATCTAAACCTGACTCTTGATCCCTCCGATATCTACCTGAACCAATTCCATCATCAAGGAGGCCCCCCCTCACGTTTCAGTTATTGGACGTAATCGGAAAGTCCGCTGCCTAGTTATACTTGGTCAGCAGCCCACGCTGGGAGTTACGTCCCAACGATGCCAATTTTTCACCATAGGCTTGGTAATTTCCTGTCCCTCAGACTGACCGCCTAAAGTGGATGAACGATGATTATTTCCAATATATATAAACACAATTTAACCAAAGAATCTCATCCTCTCGTCAGTTTGAATGAATGAACCTTTCTGAAAGTATATATGAAAAATTTATACCAATAAACTTGATATATCATGATTGTCACATTGTCACTGAACGAGGGGCATCGTCAGAGTCACTTAGGGGTCGTATCGCCCAGACCTCGATCACAGGCTAGACAGACACACGTCTCGGGGATCTTCAACCAACAGAAAAAACCAACGAAAATATTCATAAAAAAAGTATAAAACGTATTTGTTTGACTTCTTGTCTTGTCAGAAGGCATGAATAGAACAACCATTTCATTCATAACATACATTTTCCTGACTCACAGGGTTTCTCAGATGCATCAAAGCTTTTAACTCTTTCACAACCCCTTTTTAGGATCTTTCTCAACAATAACAATATAAGATAAAGCATGAAAGAAGAATGACCAACAATGTCAAAGCACATTCAGGCCGTACATGTCATATTTCACCCTATCTTTCTTGAATACTTAGGCGCTTTTATGAGCATCCTAGTTCAAAACTTGATAGCTCTGTTTGTACACAAATCCAAGATACACATTTCACCAAACAAGACCAGACACTGGACCAACTTCAGCTGTGAAAGTGAAAGTGTTCCTCGACGACATACCCCATAAAAAATTATAATATATGACTCAAGAGAAGGAAGACAAAGTAAAGAAAATGGTCGTCTTACTAAAAGAGGAAAAGAAAAACGATAAATGAAGTACGAGTTACACGTCACTCTGTCCCTACTCACTAAAGCACATATGCCAAGCTAATCCTATATCAAGACAAAGGTTACAAAATTTTGTTGACTCTTTTCTGCTGCTAAAGTACATCACCATGTCCTAAGAGAAGAGACCCTATCTATTTTACACTTCCTACTCATAGTGTACAAAGTCACGCTAAGAAGCGAAATGGTTTGCAGAGAACATAGGAGGTCAAGGCACATTCTTTCCCCCTAGCTTATCATGCTAAGGTTCAACTGCCTATACAACTGAACCCTGAACTCATCCTTAGCCTTCTTAACAATATTCCCTTCCCTGTCAAGCTTCTTGTTCTCATCCAACCTCACCAAACCCTTTTCATCATCAAACTTAAACCCTGGGCATTCTTCTCTCAGATGCATCCCCTTCATGCAATACCAACACATTTTCATGCCTTCACTTTTTGGCTTTTTGGCAGAATGATGCGGACATGCCTTCTCCTTCTCTCCACTTGCTTCCTCCATCTCAGAACAAGGTCTCTTTTTGCTATCCCTGGATTCGCCTTCATTGGAAGACTTTGTAACAGTGTCTGACGCCAGTAGCTCAACCAACTTGCTAGCAGAAGTTGGAATGATAGTGGGTTGGTCACTGTTCTCATTTCTCGGTCCCAATATTTCTCTATCTGTTCCTTCTAAATTTCGCCCTGGTGCTTGAGGTACCCCTGTAACACTCCTGATCCCAAACTCCAATTCATCGTTCCACTCAACAACTTTCGTAGGTGCCTCTGTTTCTCCTTGACTAACCTTTTTTAGAGTCTCCATCTCTTTTTTCTACTTACCGACTCTCCCTTCCAGCTTGCCAACTTCTTTCTACAACTTTTCTCGTTCAACCCTCTCTTTTTCCACATCCTTGTCCGTGTTACTTAAGGCAACGCTCAATGATTGAACTTACTGTTTTAATTCCTTTCGTTCCTCACTCACTTTGCTCATTTCAGTCTTCATGCTCTCCACCTCTTTTTTCATTTTCTCCATTTGCGCATCCCTGTTTTCTTCTCTCTTCCTCAATCTCTGGATCTCTTTCAGGATTTCAGGGATGTGGCTTGCTACTCCTTGAATGAGCAATTCCTCCTTCTCTTTTACCCTTATTTTGAGTTCTTTCATCGAAGACTTTACCTTCCCATCCTCGTCATTTCCTCTCTGGTTCTTTCATGCTCCCTCCAATTTCTTAGCTACCTTGGCTCCTCCTTCAAGGAGGCACTCATCTCGAAGCAGCTCATGCAGCTTGATCAGCTTGTCCATGTCTGACACCAGGTTAGAGCCCCTGATTGATTCAATCAATAAGATCCTCTCGATCTTCTCACTCCAAGGGGCATCTGCAGGTAACTCACCTTCTTTCATGGACGCGACCATCCTATTCCTCCATTCCTTATTTTCCTCCTCTCTCTTTTCTCTCTCCTCCTTGGTCATTCTTTTTGATCCTGGTCCCCTGAGAGGATTTTCAGCTGCTGCCACTCCAGTCTCTCTCTCAGCTTGATTCCCCTCTTCTTCCTCCTTTTCCTTCTCCTTTGTGTCCTCTTTCTCTTTTGCTATCTCCTCCACTTCCTTCTTCCCCTCTTCTCCACTCACCATATCCGGTCCCTTCTCTCCCTCTTCTTCCTTCTCCTTCTTCTCCTCTGTGCCCTCTTTCTCTTTTGCTACCTCCTCCACTTCCTTCTTCCCTTCTTCTCCTCTCATCATATCCTGTTCCCTCTCTCCCTCTTCTTCTTCCTCGCTTTGCTTCTTCTCCCTGTTTCTTCTCTTCTCTTGTACTCTTGTTGTCTTGCTTGCTGAATCATTTCCCTTCTGAATTGTTGTCCTCTTTCTGTCAAGTACCTGTTTGAGGGGTACATCATCCTCATCAATCTCCTGTCGAGCTTTCCTTTCCAGCTTGTCTCCTCTTCTCCCTATCGACAATCCTTGCTCTTGAAGTAACTGCCTTTTCTTCTGTCTTTATACGACCAGAGTGTAGGTTCTTCTGAATTTGACAAGAAACTCTCCCCAGGTATCCGACTCCTCCTTGATCTTCCTCATACTCTCATATTCTCTGGGGTCCACTCTCGCCATCATTTGTTCTAACTTTTTTTCTTCCTTCTATTCTTTATTTTCCGCACACAGAGTGAGGTTGTCCCCCTTCTTGTAGATCGGCATTCCATCTGCGTCCCTGGTTACCCGCCGTGATCCCAATCGCCGTTCCTTGCCAGAAGCCGGCCTGGAAGGCCCCGCCACCCCTCCTTTTCGTGTCATCGCCGCTCCTTTTACAGGATTAAGCCTGCCCACAAAAAAGAACGAGGAAAGTGGCAGGTGCAAAGGGGTGTTAGCAACCGGGTAACAATACCAAGTTCGCAATGATGCAATCACAAGGTGTTTTAGGGAGGATCAAATTGATTTATATTTTTACCGACTCACCTCATCCCTTATCCTGAATTTCTTCAACCTTGATCCGGATACCCAGTCTCGCCTTGGTGTTCCATCCATTTCCTCCAGCTCATACGCCCCGTGATTCCCTTGACGTCGAACCTTGTACGACCTCAGCCATCTCTTATCCAATTTTCTTTACCATTGTTTCTCCAAGGATGAGTCATACAGTAGTACCACGTCCCCGGTTGCCAATGGTTCAGTTCATACGCAAGAAAGCCGGTCCCATCTTTCCTTGTCTTTTCCCCGACTGTCAACCACTTTCTCGACTGCTTCCTAGATCCCTTCCTCTGTGACACTGATCTGTCTGGCTCAGATGTCAAGCAATTCTTCAAGCGGCAGATCGTTTTCAAGATCCTGCCTCCGCCAGGTCTTTAGGAAGCCTTCTATTGGGAAAGTGGCGTGCCTTCCATACCATAGAGTCGCAGGAGCGTACCCCGTGGTCCTCCTGACAGTAATGTTTTCGACGAAGAATACAGTCCGTAGGAACCTAGGCCACAAGTTTGGTTTTCGCGCTGTCTATTTTGCCAATAAGTTGGTGATGGTGTTGTGCTCTCTCTCTACCGATACGTTAGCCTGAGGATGTGCTCTGGTGGTGTACTTGGTGATTACTCCGAGATCATCCAATAACTCCATAACTTCCCCACCTGTGAATTCCGACCCTCTATCCATTGTGAACTCCACTACGAAAGGATACCGGAGGTAATATTCTTTGATGCACTCGGCCAAGACTGCCCGAGGCTTGGTCTAGGTGACCTTTCCATCAACAAATCCTGTGAGGTTGTCTCTGGCATCAAAGATGTAATTATATCCGCCAAGCCCCAGTGGTATCACTAGCAAATTCAAGTGGACAACTGCCCCCACATTCTTGATATACCTTGGATGAAGAGGTTCTTTATACCTGATCGGCGATCTGACCTGGCACGACACACATAACTCACAGTACTTTATAACCATCCCGTACATGCCTTCCCAAAAGTACAGCTCAGTCACCTTCTTGAGGGTAGCGGCAAAACCCCTGTGACCACCGACAGGTCTATCATGGAGGGCCGCTATGACATCAATCTGCCAATTTCTGCCACATATAACCCTCCTAGGAGGTCCTCTTTTATCCCTGATGAAGAGATGGTCACCCCTTACTACGTAATGGTCCCTCATGCGGAGAGTTTTCTCACCAACTTCCCTTTCTCGCTTGTCGCATGAGAGAAGAAGCCTCATTTCTAGATGGAACCCATCGTACTCTTCTTCCCGGAAATCTTCCGAGATTTCACCTTGCTCATATTCCTCTCCCTCCATTTCTTCATCAAATTCGTAGTCATCTCTCAATATTATCTCATCCGCCTTTACCGTCCTTCTTTCTTCTTCGTTCCGGATTTATAGGAGGGAGTTCACAAGGTAATGCACTCTTCCTACCGTCAATAAATGTCGATTCACTTGGCTGTTCCTGCCTCAATCGTGACTGGTTCCTTTGTCAATCTGTAACTCTAAGCCAAGGCTAACTCTGCCATCCATTCCCCACTTCTTTTTCCCCATGGGTCCTCTTCGATGAAAGGTTTTAATACTAACCTTTCATCCTTCACAAAAGTCGCTGGTGCAATCCACATAGGTTTTCCCTCTCGGACCTCATTATCATTGATTCTTAAGGCTCATGCGTTAACGTGGAGCTGCATGTCATCTTCTTCCAAGAATCCATCTACCGGCGGCGCCTCCTCCTTAGCCTCTCCAGGCTTCTCCCACTTTATCCTGCTCAACCCATCCGCTCTATTCTTATTCCCTGGAATGTGCTCCAACTGAAAATCGAACATCCAGATGTAGGTGAGCCACCTGACGACCGTATAATCAGCTGGTGAGAAGTTCCTAAGAGAATACATGAGGGCGGTCGGATCTACCCTTAGAATGAATCTTCTCCCAAAGAGATAATGTCTGAAGATCCATAGGCAGTGTAATACTGTAAAGGCCTCCTTATTGAATTGAGAGTAATTCCTTTCAGTTGAATTGAGAGTTCGACTCTCAAAGCGCAACGGTTTTTCCTTACCCTCATGATCCGCCTGTATCAAGACTCCTCGCAAGGCAACGGGTCCGGCATCAGTTTCTATTATGAAAGGGCATTCTAAGATCGCCTCGTAGTCCGGAACCCCAGTATCAGACCTCCTTGCTCAAATTCCTTCTTTAAGTCTCTCACCACTTGCTCCTGCTTCTCTCCTCATTCCCCATTCCTGATTCTTCCTTACTAATTTCCTCACGTGCTTAGTCTTTGCGGCAATCCTCTTAATAAATATCCTCCAGAACCCACATGTCCCAAAAAAACACCTCACCTCACCTATATTTTTGAATAGTGTCGGCCACTCAAGAATTTTGTTTGTTTTCTTGGTATCCGGACGACGACCCCGCTCATTACATACAAACCCAAGAATGATCGCCTCTCTCATGCAATGTCTAGATTTTGCACCGCTCGCCGTGAGGTTATGTTCTTGCAAGAGATCAAGCACCTTCCTGAGATCATTCACATGATCCCAGACGAACTTTCGAATGCCATGTGCAACCTCTTGCTCATCCTTTATCATCGGTCTTTTTACCTCAATATCGTCGATATAGGGTTCAGTGATCTGTGGACTAATCGGCTGCATTACTCTGACCATGCTCCTCTGGACCATGGCTACCGCATTAGTCCACCCTTGAGGTGCTACGTTCATGTGGATCAGTCCCCTAGGAGTGTGCATCGCAGTTATCGGTCTATCGGCCGGATAAACTGGAAACTGGTCATAACCAAAGTAGAGGTCTATAAGAGAAATAATAGACCTCCCTACACATGCTTCGGAAAGTTGATCAGCGTTAGGGAGTCCTCCAGCATCCCTAACAGTCACGACATTTAGTCTCTGTAAGTCTTGCACCCACCTGAGTACCCCGTTTGGTTTAATAAAGCAGAACCATGACGAGGCATATGGCCCACTTGAAAACCCAGCCACGTGTGATACGGCATACCTCTTCATCCCGTATCAATGGGGAGACGGAAAAGGAATTGATAAGACAAATGAAAGAAAAATGGGATGAAGAGGCATGCCGTACCAATGGTGAGACGGAAAAGGACCTGATTATTGATAAGACAAATCAGGTCATTTTCCGTCTCCCCATTGATACGGCATGCCTCTTCATCCCACTTTTCTTTCGTTTGTCTTATCAATTCCCTCTCATGCTCATAGTACACACTCTCTTCGTGCGTTACTAAAACCGAGACTGGAGGACTCTTCTTGTCTACTGTCTTGTACCTCATTTTGCCTCCTTGCTTGAGTCCACCCCTCAAAAATGTTGACCGCTTGATTGGGCATATGATCCCTGCATTTTTACATCTCGCGGGGGTGGTCTATATACTAATTTCATTCTTCCTCCTTCGGGATATTCACCCAGTCTATCAGCCAAGACCATGATGGCTTCTTGATCGGCCATCCCATAGGTTGAGACCATGCACATTGCCTGGTCTATATTAGTCAAGCTCAGAACCAGTCCCTCGTCCTCTTCCTCTTTTTCTTCCTCGTCTGATCCCCACTCTATTTCTCTTCTTCTGTCCTCAGACTCTTCAAACGTATAAGATACTGCGTAGAGGCAATTCTTCGAACAGTGGGGTCCCGTATTCTTACATGTGAGTACTTCGAAATTCCCACATACTGGGTCGCACAATATTACGTACATAATTTCATCATGTTTATTCATGATGAGAGCTTCTGACCTCGACAAAAAGGATCTTCCTAATAATATGGGAAGATCCAGACTCGGCATGATGTAGAAGCAGGAACAGACCTTAATCCGCTCTACTTCCACAATAACATTTGAGGCCACACCCATATAACCCAACTTCCCACTGCCTCCATTGAGGAATCCGAAATCGCTTTTATCAACTTCTAATCTCAATCTCTCAGCCGTCTCTAAATTCATAATATTCATTTCCGCCCCGGCATCTACCATTCCAGGGCATCCTCTTCCTCTGATTTTAACTTCTATGGAACCAGTCCCTACAAATTTTCAATCCATCTTGTTCCCAGCGACAGTCCAGTTTGCCTCCTTCGGGATCAAATCCCCCATTGTTACCGTCGTCATTCTCTTTCGTGCCAGTTTTGCCTTAACTAATTCCCTGAGCTTAGGGGCTGTTGCCAAAATCTCCTTCAAATTTAGCGGCTTGTTATGTCCGCCGAGAAGCTTGTTTACCAAATTTTCGAGGTTTACCCCCTCTTCAATTGATGTTTGATACTTCCACTTTTTATTGGACTTTTCTCCGACCTTCCCTTTTTCTTTCCTTACCCCCCTGCTTTCGCTTCTTGGCTCTCTGCTCAGCTTGCTTACTCTCTTCTTCTCTCAGTTGTTCATCTTGATCCTCTTCCTCTTCGCCTATGTCAATAGAGGGTTCACCAGGAGGAGCAGGCTCCTGTTCCTTAGTCGCATTGCTTCCTTTAGTCCGTCGAGCAGTGTACGACAAAGAACTCCTAAGGGCTTGGTAAGCTGCCTCGGGTCCTGCCGCCAAACTCGCCCTTAGCGCCCTTGGATTGGGTTTTCGGGGTCTTTCTTCCCCACTTCCCTGACCCATAGTAAATACGTGCGGGGCTCTTAACTCCGTAATTTTGACTTCCTCACATATACCCATCATTCGGGTATTCAGCCTTCCTATCTTACCTATCAGGTCTTCCATCCTCTCTATGGTATCTTTTGCTGACTCCATGACTACTTCATGCTCTCTCGGTTCAAGCTCGATCAACGGAGCATCCTCTTCTTCCTGGCCTATCTTTAGTCCCTTTTTCAGTTTCTCCCCTAACTCGGTCACATCTTCTACCTTAATGAAGGAATCTTCCTTTTCCTGCTAGATTCGAAACATAGAGGGGGCACTGGGTCCTAACCCTGCAACCCTTAGCGCCTCCTTCCTTGTGCCTCCTGGAATGTTTGGGTCAATAAGAGTGCCTCGCTTATCGTACACATCTCCATCTATGCTGGACATAATTACCCCATCTTCTTCGTTCATCTTTCTAACATGACATCTCTTTACGGTATGTCATTGATCTGACATTGGGTACAGGTGCACTCAATACAATCTATCCAACCTCATCCGTATCCCTGACCATTCCATTGTCCATCACTCCTACCAAACCCTCGGCCATAATTTTGGTTATAGCCTTGACCATAGCCCTGACCATACCCTTGGTTATATCCTTGACCGACCTGGTTAAAGCTCACTTGATTATCATTCCCTGACTGAGGGTCTCCTTGATTGCCCCAACTCCTTCCTTGTCCGTCATGTCCTCTTCCTCCAAATCCTCTTCCACCTTGACCATTTCCTCTTCCTCCGCTTTTACCTCTACTCTGTCCTTGACCGTGTCCCTGTCCTTGAAACCGATTCTGGTTTTGATTACCGCGCGTCTGCTGAGCTTGCTGCGGTAATTCTTCGCTCGTTCCTCGTCCTTGTGTCTCCCTCCTACTCCTTGCATTTAGGGCAGATTCGGATACAGGCCCATCTGTCCAAACCCCAGCCACTGATTCCCTGAAAAAAATCATGGTCATGCCCCCATAGGAGCCACAACTGGCCATGGGGCGAGTTGAGCGATGGGGGTCTGTGCTTCTGTGACGCCGGACACACCAGTCTGTTGAGAGCTCTGTGCTTTACCAGTTCCTTGTTTTCCCGTCGGTTGGTTCTTGGTCTTCTTCTGGACTGCTTTTGCCTTGGTTACCTGTTCTGGCTTGTCTTCCTCTTCTTCCTTGTCTCCTGCATTCTCTTCCCCATATCTCCTTTTGTTCGTTGCTTGACCAACTGCCATTACTTTCTCTGGCGTCATCTACTCCTTCATCTCCTTGAGTTGAACCACCATACTGCTCAAGACCCCTCCTAAGGGTAAGTCTGCCCACTGAATCGCACTTACGTCCTTCCTTTTCTTCCTTTCCATTTTCACCTGATGATGAAACACCTGGTCCAAGTCACCAGATGCCAAATTTCTTTTTATTGTCTCCGAGGATGTTTTTTTACCTGGTGCACCTCCCCGTGCCAGTTCCATTGCCTCATATCCTGAGAAGTTTTATAAGAAAATAACACATTGCATTTCCTCGGAAAGCCCTGGAACTCTTTCTGCCATCTTTTCAAACGCCGTTGCGAATGCCCCCATTGTAGTGAAGTCATTTCTATTCAGGTTGTGCAGGTGATCGACCGTTAACAACCCATCACCTAACTTGTACTTTCGCAGCATCCCCTTTTTGAACTCGATCCAACTCCCTTGGACTTCCGCAACGATATTTTCGACTTTCGGGCGACATTCCCACCACACGTACTCATATAGTTGGGCAAACTTCTCAGCTGATATTAGCTGATTGAAGACCTGTTTCAGTAACTCTAACCAGTGGGACACCCGTTCCCCTTGAAAAGAGAATATTTCAGTTGCGATCTTTTGATAGTTATTCTTTCCAGCAGCCGCATGATCTATGCGGCTGTAATGAAACTTTGTCCTTCATTGGCATCTCCCATCTTCCCACAGTCCTCAGTCAATCTGTCATACACATGCAGAGACGATGGATTTTTAGATTACCTCTCAGTTTTCTTACTTTTCTTTTTAGTTTTGGCCTTGGATGCTTTACCCTTCCCAAGGTGCTAACAAAACCCTATCCAGCCCTTGACTCTAACTATCTTACACTTTCCCTTCTTTTTATTCTCATCTTATCCTCCCTCCTTGACATTAACTGGTATACACTAATTCCCTCATTTATGCGAGTCTCAATTACTATTCTTATAATCTAATGAGATGACTGATATGGCTAAAACGGTCATGATTCTACTTTTCAGCTTCCAGATTTGCTCACCAATCCACCCTTCCAATTTCTTCTGCAGTCAACCAATCCCCCGTCCAGGAATCATACCCCATTCCGAACATTATAGGATACCAAAAATGCAAGCCCTGATCTTCATTTCGGCCTTAAGCTTCTTCCAATAAGTTTGTCTTGGTTTCATATGGTGGACACGAACATACGCATCTACCGCAGACAGGACTTCCTCAAAATCGTTGTCGACCAAATCTAGTCCCATCTCCAAATACAGGCAATAAAAAACTCGGGGCGTAAAAAATTCGCATCTCCCCAGAGGCACGGCTACGACGGCCAGGCCGCTTGTTCTACATTAGCATGGTTGTGAAATATTTCATTAATAATGAAGTCCGGCAGGGTAGCCTTTACGTAGTGGGTGGGGTAGACAAAGTCCGACGCCCATCTTGCTTCTACCATTGGTATAATCGGTCAGAATTCCCCCCACCTTTCCTCTTTAATCTTGTCCTCGAGGATTGCTCATGTAGTCAGGAGATACCTGGATAATGGCTGACTATGTCTTATTGCCAAATCCACGCCGTGCATTCTCCATAAGTCCGACGAGAGGTAAAGGGTTGCCCGAACTATTATACTCTCTCGGTCCAATCGGGGCTCCCCACCACTAGGTGATCTCCTCCTCTTTCATGCTTAGCCCCTGGGGCAACGACATCCTTAAACCCAGCCTAGTACGGATGGGCAGCTCAATCCCAAGTCCCTGAGTAGCGTACGACATCTTGAGTGATTTTCTGGCAGTCTGTGTAGTGTAGAAGAAAGAGGCAAAAGGCACACAAGACTTATGCGTAAGTCCAACTTTGTGATGACATACCCCCTTATTTTAAATTTTCTCCCATTTTTCTTAATCCTACTCAGGAGGTTTTCCTCTGCCCTCTCATTACATTTTTTTCCCTTCTTCATCCCACTCTTTTCTCCCTTCAAGTTCAAGCAAGCAACGTCTTTCTTCACCTCCCTTTTCCCTTCTCACCACTCATGTCTCAGTGTCCATCTCATTTAGAATATAAACCCTCTCTCTTCTTCTTCCATTTTATCTTCCGTCACCCAGTCCCCAGACCATAAGTTATAGACTAACCCAAACATGATAGGAATACCATCCATGCAAATCCCGCAGCGAACTTTCTCTTTCAATTTCTCCCAGTACCCAAATCTTTCTTCCATAAAATAGACTCTAGCGTATGTGTTTACGATGGACAGTATGTTGCTCAAATCACTCATGGTGAGCTCGGAGCCCATTTCCAGGTAAAGGCATTAAATCATGTGCGGGGTGGAGAAATCATATCCTCTATTAGGTAATTTCAGCGCTGCTTCAGCGGCCATCTCCACTCTTCCCTGACCAGAAAACACCTCATTGACAATGAAATATGGGAGCATGGTTCTAAGGTAACGGATCGGAAGAGTAAAATCTTTGGCCGGAAGCATTTTAATTTCCGTTATAACTCCTCTTATGTCCCTCCATGGACCTTCCCGGCTCCACATGTTGAGTGTCGCCTCTGCCCTTGCTGTAAGTAGCATCATATATTCTTCTTCTCCTTGATCATGGCTCGATTCATAATCATTCCAGAGACGGGTAGCCAGGTAGAGGGTGACCCTCACACTACGCCATCCCTCTACTGAACTCCAACTTGTTTCCACCCACATAAATGCCTCGTTTCCTAACGAGCGGCCCCACCATGATTCGCCAAGTTCCGCTCTGCTTTTTTCTTTTGGAAGTGTCATTTTTAGCCCATTATCGTTTCTAACTGGTGCTTCGACCCTGGAAACTTGCTCTGCGTAAGGCATCTAGATTGGATCCGGACCACCCCTTTTATGACCTGTTTTCACAATTGTCAAGACAAGAGCGACCAGTTAACGTACTGTCTTAGTTATTAACTTCTGATGCCCTTACCACGGAGTAATCCGTCTTTCTCTACTATTAATAAGGAGTTATTTTACTGGATTTTCCTTCCTATATTTCCCAAGTACACACATAGACTCATTAGCCTAGTCTTAGCCTGGTCTTAGGTAAGGGTCACAAGAGTCAAAACTTCACATCCCCAGTCTAGATACCTTCTCCCTTACCCACTTAAATGTTTTCCCTCGATTATCATCTCTATTCATTAATGAGATAAAACATTTTCTCAGATAACCCCTTTATATATCAGGTATGAGATTAAGCAACATATCTCAATCTGGTATAGGGAGAACAATGTCATGGTAAAACATAACCTATGGTTTGTTGGTATATTCTGGGATACTACAGGCGGATCAGGTACATATGACGGCGGAGGTGGAAGAGTAGGCTGAGGTGGTTGTGGAACCACTGCCACTTGTTGTTGACGACGTGCCAAGGAAGAGGATGGTGAGGGATATGTCATAGAATAACGTCGAGAGGAAGGTGGTTCGAATCGTGGAGGCGGAGCGCCATAATGCTGCTCGTATTTATAAGAGTAGTAAGCCATCTTTCCGAGAGATGGAATGCGCTCGCGGAAATCCTCTTGATGCCAGCGTAAACGCGGCCCTTCACATTTTTCCTCTTCCTCCTCTTCTTCCTCTCGCTCTTCTCTTTCCTTTGTCAGATCAATCGGCCTTTCCGTCGCCTTCCCCTGTCGTCCACCTCTTCCGCTTCTAGCTCCAAGCCCGCGAGGCATTGCTAAGATTTAACTTAAAAGAATATCCAAGAAGCTTAGTTACCTATAGATTATAACACGTATGGATTCGAGGAAAATTTAAGACGATTGTGTAGCATTGGCAATCTTTGAGAGTTAGAGGTACGATCCTTAACCAGAAGGAACTCGTTGATACTTGTTAAATTTTATTACATAGCCAGACTCTTTCGTTATAAAATTCCCTGTATTTTCTTTCTTTAATAGTCAAAAGGAGCAGTTGTCGAGATTAAAACTCTTTGCAATGTTATATCGGGTACGTTAACTTGTACTTGTCCCAACTCAAGGTACTTTTCTCCGACGCAAGGTTCGTGTCTTTAATTACCCCTTTCTACTTGTCGTTTTGATAGGGCATCAATTAACCTGACCCAGGTCCGTTTACATAGGACCCCGGCAGGCAGCCGAAGGTCCCTGGCAACGGCGCCATCTGTCGCGCGCGGCAATCTCGCACCCTGCTGGGAGCGCTGAACCTCACGGTCGTGTCACGCAGGATTTATTTATGAAAATGAACCAGTCACCACTCCAACCGTGTGCACGTGCTATACCTCTCACGACACCCCACGACAGGTCGGGGAGTCGCGAGGTACAACTTACCTCTACCCGAGAGGCTGTCACCACCCTCAGGTAGGCGTATCCCTGCTAAGCTACCGGCCCACATGCGAAGGTTTTTACATGCCTTTGTAGAGGTAGGTCGGCCGAGGGTGTTTGCTCGATCGTTGTAGCATAAAACGGGGTACGTGCGGTAAGACGCCTAGAACTGACCCGTTGGATATTCAGGTCGAACTTTTAATAAGGCAGTCTATTTCCGCTAATGCGTAATGTATTATTCTTTCGACCAATCAAATCTTCTTTCTACCAAAGAGCGTCCTATCTTTCTTAACAGGTTATGACTTCGCTGAACATCAGAATAGTATAGAAGCTAAGTTGGATATATGATGAATATGGAAATATTACTGTCGAGAACCCTTTCCACTTTCGAAAGTGCCGTGTGTCCGAAACTTTTCAATAGACCACGTCCAGTTCAATCCAAAGTCACGCAAGAAAATAGACCTGCACGGAA